CCCCTTTTCTCTCTCTAGGCCTGTGCAGGGGAAGCCCCACACCAAACCCGGCACAACAAACTGACACGTTGCAGCATCCACACCTTTGGGCTTCTGGATCATCTCCCGGGAGCTGTCAGCACATAAACACATCTCCTGCCTTCTCTACACCGTGACTGCACCTCCTGCACTCTGCCCTGGCAAATTTGAAGAGACAGGAGGAAACTCAGACACCCAGACAACAAGCAGCACCGTTTCTGGGAACTGCACCCGAAGGCACAGCTCCTTCCAAAGCAGGAGCTTTTCAAACCGATTCCCAAGGCCAGACATCGTCTCTGCTCCCAGTGACAGGGTTCAGGCAGAGGATCCAGGTCAATCCTGATGCTGACAGGCACCAGTGATAAACAGATGAGGAATAAGGATTCGAACTGGACCTTTGCTCCAGTGTGTGTTACTTCTTTCTAAAACTCAGCCAGGGCCTGAATTCGCTACAAAGTGACTTAGAAATAAATGCTCTCACTCAACACATCCTCTGTCTGTGGTGCCACCTCTCTCCTAGGGTTTTTACTGTTTCATCTACTGTAACATGAGGCTGCACTGAGAATGTAAATATGGATTAAAGGACCTTATTTTTTAGGTTTTTACAGTCCTGAGGGCTAAGGTTTTCCCTCATGCTATCCCTCTTCTGCTGCTACCCCCACTTCCACCGATTTCAGCAGGAATTTGGCCTGAGTGAGGAAGGTGGGATTTGCTTTCTTCCAAAAAGAGGTGTTTGCCACTTGCTTTGGTTAAGTGGGACATTTAAGATGCTGATTTTTTGGGGGACATGTTGGTTGACTATAGTTAAATTCTTCTTTTTTCCGATCTGTATTTGATGTAAATATTTCCTTCTTACAGTTGCAAATCAAGAACTGAGATAGCAAATAAAATTATTCTAGTCCGATTCAATGAAGTGTATTTCTTGCTTTAGCTCCTAGCCTCAGAAATGTTAAAATCCTTCACAAAAATAACAAATGAGAGTTTGAGAAAGTTTTGGATGAGGGAAAAGCCAGCGATTTATACACCAGCCTGAGACTCAGGATGCCAGAGTTCAGCTTCCAGCTTACCATAGCCTAAAATCATCTCAAGGGATCTTCCCAGGGATTAGCTGATGGGCCCAGGAAGACTCCTCCATCCCAGGAAGGTGCTGTGAAAGCGGATGAGATAAAGATTCTCAGGGTACTCTGTTATTTGTGTCCCAGGACTGATAAAAACCTGGGAAAAGCAGAAGGAAAGAAACTCTTTGATAGTCTCTCCTCTGCAAACAAGCTGGGAAGGAGGGAAACAGAGAGAAGTTCTTCCAAACTGACTTGAGTCTAATGCTTAATTTAAAAAAAAATTAAATTAGGGACTGGATAAGTATATCTAAACAAGAGCAGGCTGATCTTGAATGACAATTTCATGGATCTACACACACTATAAAGAAAAAATTCACGGACAAGCCTCAACTTGGAAATGTCTGCGAATTCACAGACAATGATGTGAAGCACAAAGATACCTTCAATCTATTAAGGGGGCTCCACTCAAACCCCAGGTGCTCAGCTGGGGAGTAGCAAGGGTCTAACATACAGATGAGCAACTCACACCTTGTCTCTCTCTCCTATGAGGTCAGTTTTATTACTGGGTTGTCCCAGAATATCTGACTGAATTAATTTGAGCTCCAAATTTTCACTCAAACATCCGTAACTCAAAGTGTCTCTGCAAAACAGTTTCCAAGAGGTAGGAACATCCCCACCTCTCTGGTACCATTCCCTGCAGCTCTTCCCTTGCTTTTCTCAGTCACTTTAGCCTGGGTTTTCACACAACACGAGAGCTTTGGTCTGCATCACACCACCTTCCTGTAACCCAGGCTGCCAGGCAATGCTCCTGGGGGTCTGGTACTGACCCCCACACAAAATCCTCTTCCAACAGATGAGGAACTGGAAGCAGAATATCTTGGGGTTTGAGTTTTGTTGTTTGTTTCAGGGCAAGGGATTAGGGGGAGTTGATTCTTGTTATTTTTCCAGTAGCCTTCATTTGCACGGGAAATCAACACCTGGAAAAGAATCAAGCTCTGGGATGGCTCCTGCCTCCCTCTGTGTATCTCTGCACTGATCCTCCAACCCACGCTCTGCAGGGCACAGTCACTCAGCACCCCAGGGTACATCCTGCTCAGCGCAACCCTCAGGACCCACCATTCATCCAGGTATCCCCAGCCCAGACTGACACCAACCATCACACCACTGCCTCTGCCCCCACTGCCTTCTGGTTCAAGCTCCGGTGGCACAGACAGACACCTTAAAAGAAACCAGAATTGAAATCCCATCTCTGAGCATAACTGGAGCCTGCAATCACAAATCCATGAACCCAGACAGCTCCCAGCACTCTCAGCACTGCAAGGAAAGGACTGGCCCTGCAACTGCAATAGCACTGCCTGCATGGCACATTCCCTCTTCAGAGGGTGGGTTTGTTGGGAATCACCATGTTACTGGAAATACAGGAATGTTCCCTGAACTCTCTGTCAGCACCTTTCATATTCTTACTTGCTAAACAACTGCCAGGCATCAGCTTCAATTCTTCATCGTAGTTTCTGCCTTTACATCTCTAACACACAGATCTTGGTGGTCTCTGATTTTGGTTCTTTAATCTGTCAGTGACCAAAGGGATGGAACACCCAAACTGCAGATTCAGCCTGGCTGCAAACTCCCTGTAAAGTGTCAGTAGAAATATTATTCCTCCCTCCCACTGTAACAGCTGCCCTGAGTTAGAAGGAATCCTTAAAGGAATTCCATTTAAAAGCATTTCCAGCTCTCCACCTGTGGATTTTCTGAGAGATACTATGTGTTCCTGGACTGCTGTGCATCCCAAGATACTCAGGGCCATGTCTCTTCTTACATGGGCTTTTCTATTTCTGAAGCCCTGCAATTCAAGTAGGTATTAGAAATACACCCAGACACATCCAAGAGATGTTAACTTTTCCATTTACTATTAGAGAACCAGACAGAGGTGATACAAGTAGTATCACTTGATGCCTCATCCAGAGGTGGCTGGAGCACTCTAACAGCTGACACTGAGCTCAAGTCTGGTGTTCACATTTGCTTGACAGGATTTTGAGATTCAGATCCTTGTAATGCTGTTTAATGCTGTTTAACTGATGAAACGTATTTTCTCCTTGTTTTGTCAAAACCTGCTCTATTTAAGGTACCCATCACAACTACCACAGCCCTGTGAAAGGGTGTTACTTCACACAACCCAGCAGCCTGGCAGCACCTTTCCTCACTCGCCAGCATGCTTTGATGCCCACTCCAGCTCCTTTGCAAAGGACCAATAAAAACAAACCTCACTCAAAAACAGTTATCAGGAAAGCAAGGAAGAAAGGAGTAAACCAAATACCAGCCCAGCCTCTCACAGTCTGATGAAACTGTTGTCACCATGTGTGCAGAGCTGCAGGAAGCATCACCCACCCCCAAGTGCAAATGGTCACCCAGAGGCAGCAGCAAGGGCCCCCTCCAGTGACACATACAAGGGGTTTTCTTGGCAGGGCGGAAGCCCCTGTGGTTACAGGGGAGAAACACAAGTAGTTGAAACAAAATTAAAAGGAAATCATAGCCCTGGGCATTGGGCACTCTCAGTGTGCTCAGCTGACAGACCACCTGCCTTGCATAAAGTAGCTTTTCAGAGCAAATGCAAAGGAGAATTGACCAAAGAAGAACTGAAAAGAGAACAATCCAGCGAAAGAAGGACTCGGCTGTGTGTCAGGAACGTGTGTACTTGGAGATAAACGATACACATGGATCTATCCCATGAAACATCTGTGACTTGCTTTGTAAGAAAATGCTCTGGGCTCTGCCATCTACACAAGACCCCTTGAGTGTGCTTAAGAGAAGGAGGCAGAGTCCCTGCCAAGAAACACAACCTGGGCCCTTCAGCCAAAGGATGGAACTTGTCCGTGACTTCTGTGGAGCTGGAGCTGCTGTGGACCCCCAGAGGGCTGGGGGAGAGCAGGCTGGGGTGCCTGATCCTACCTCAGGCATGAGCAGCAGCACTCTGGATCTCTAGGGAAGGCGTCAAGGCAAAATCCATGAGGCACCATTTAGAAATGTTCAGGAAAAATGAGCCAAACTGAGGACTAGAACTGAATGTCTTCAGGATTTTTTTGCCACTGCATTTTGCCGCAGATGCCGAGCATCACCTCTTTACCCAAGAGGGTCCTGATGACATCACATCCTCTCCAAAAGAGTGACCCAGCCTCCCAAATCAAGTGACAAAGATCACCTCAGCTGCACTGCACCTTCTCCAAGGACGGACACCCCCAGGAGAAGATGGACAGGTCTCCTGCCCTGCTCCTGCTGCTCGTTCTGGGACTCTGTGAGTATGGACACGGGGTGGTGCAGCCCCACCACCCAGAGGGGCAAGGAAAACCCTTCCACTGAATCCAAGAAATTGTGTTAAATAGGTAAAGAGTGGAAAAGAGCAAATCAAAAAGGCTGACTTTGAGATGTGGTCAGGAATTGCAGAGGGAAAGGCGGCATTGCCTCAGCCGGCGTAGGGCAGCCAGAGGGGTGGCTGCAGCAGCACAGGCAGCAGGAAGGGAGCCTGGTCAGATGAGTGATCCTGGAGGGGAGGGAGAAGGGGGCAATAAAGAGGGTTTAGCAGTTGGTGCTTTAGGGAGTCCCTTCAGAGAAGCTGGGAAGGGGTAATGTCCCTGAGAAGGCAGCTGGAAGGGCAGCACCATCTGT